GCTTATACTATCATGCCCATGGTGTGGTGCATTGGGTAAGCCATCCATACTCACTCATGCAGTCATTGACAGCAGTTGCTGACTGGATTACCTATTTAGATCGATCGTTGGGCCTATGATTGGAGGAGCTCTCGCACGACCATGCATCAGCTACCCCGAGATCTTCCCTCGTGGAACCATCTGGGACCGATATCCCTACCTCCTCCCCAATCTCTTCAGCGCCGCCACCGTTTTCTTCGGAGTCATCATTGGACTTCTCTTCCTGGATGAGACCCATGCAGAGAAGAAGTCCCAGCGAGACCGGGGACGTGAGATTGGAGATTACCTCGCCAGCTGGTTCGGTGGAGTTGCCGGCTGCAACGGACGAGGCCGCTCTCCCGAGAAGCAGGCTCTTCTTGATGGAAAGCAAAACGTCCAGTATCTCTCGACCAGTGTTCGCCCTGGCTCTGCCCACTCTGACGAGGCCCTGCCTGCTTACCGAAGCCAAGAGAACTCGCCCCGACTTGCTCCTCAGCCTGACACACAATCCCTGAACGAAGCCCCCTTGGAACCCATTGTGGTGCGAAAGTCAAAGACTTTCACCAAGCCTGTCATCATGAACATCATCTCTTACGGCATTCTCGCTTTGTAAGTTGGACCTCACCGAAAGCTTCATGCAGCCTCTAACACATGACAGCCACACCATGACTTTTGATCAGCTTTTCCCTGTTTTCCTGAGCACCAAGCGACCTGAACACCCCGTTCACGACCTCCCCTTCAAGTTTACCGATGGATTCGGCCTCGAGACTAAGATGATCGGCGTCATCATGTCGGTTCAGGGACTTTACTCACTCTTCTCCAACTATCTCATCGTTCCTCCAGTTACCCGACGACTTGGATCTCTCCGCCTCTTCCGAATCCTCGCATTCTCCTACTTTGCGCTCTACCTGGTCACACCCTACCTTGTGCTGCTCCCCGACTCTATGAGGATGCCTGCGATCTACCTCCTTGTCATCTGGAAGTGCACTTTCTCCACCATGGCATATCCCAGCAACGCCATCCTGCTGGCCAATTCGGCACCATCTAAGCAGGTCCTTGGAACGATCAACGGAATCGCGGCCTCAACTGCCAGCTTATGCCGTGCTCTTGGCCCAACCCTATCCGGTCTCCTCTATTCTTGGGGTCTTCAGACTGGATACTCTGGACTGGCTTGGTGGTTCAGCGGACTTATTACGATTGTTGGAGCATATCTCAGCTCCCAAATTACCGAGGGCGGACCTCAAGACGATGTGCAGCCTGAGGAGGATCCTCTCTTGGATGAGGGTCTTTTCACCGACTACGATGAGGAGGAGAGTGTTTAAGGGGACGATGAGCATGAAGCAGCAACCGCAACAACAACATACGGCTTGGATATTCACCGGAGTTTGAATGTTTCGAGCAAGCGAAGAATCGAAACAATCTGGCGTCATTTCTTTTAGGGACGAATTGTATAAAGGGCATGCGAGGCCCATGTGGAAAAATACCCCCTTTCTTTTTCTTCCAACACAGCGATCAGGCATGGAACAGGCGTTTTACAATAAGAGGGGAAAAGGAAGACGGATGAACTTGGGAACTCATTTCACGAAACATAGACTATGGATTCATTCGATGGACGAAGGATTCAACGACAAAGTAGAAGGATGGATGATTGATATTTAGGGAAGGGAAACATTTTTGTAATGGATTTAGCTACACGGCCGATGGCACCAGCCCATGCCGTATCGTCAACGACAGGACCCCGGAGGTTTAGAAGGCGTTTTTCGGTATGGGGTTTCTTGGTGGCCTCGCAGATGTCGGTAGCGTTTGTTTTCAAACTTTTAAGAGTTTGTGATTTTCAGTTCAGGCTACCTCACGGGGCGGAACTGGCGGTGTAAGAAAGGAAGGATAGTGTCAGTGGCAGTAATTTCAAGACTGCCGGTCTCATTGAACAAAGATATATGCATGCAACTACTTCCTGCGCGGTGCCTGAGTGACATGGAGATACATAGACATGGACAGAGACGGTGATGCTTGATATGCTTACGCATACGCATACGCATGCGTATGCTGCAGGATGGAATGGTAGCGGTCAAAGTACAGAACGGAACTTGCATGACACGGCATGGCCGAAGACAACAATGCATCTAGGTTGTTTTTGATACATATGACAGAGTTTCACATAGTAATCGAGGTAGGTACCTGAGTATGCATGCATGTATGTAGTCGCATGTAGTTGCTTTAGACCTTGTGAGTGACCTCGTGATAAATCCCGTGCAACCGCAGCGTAGCATCAGGCAGCCAGGATGTGAATTTCCTATAAAGGATATGCATAGACAGACTGGACTCACCTGTATGTATGTATGTCGGCGACCAGAAAGGCGTTGAGAAAAGAGGACAGGAAAAATGAGGTAACAATACCCTTGTCCTTGGAAACCCCATGATCTGATGATACACGGAGAACTGCCAAGTTATGTAGTAGCGGCGAATCTAGATATCTATACGCGCAAAAGGCGAATTGGATTGGATTGGATGGTTGCAGTCGGGAAACGCAGTTGCTTGAAAGTTGTTGTGGAAATCGTATGAGAATAATCAATTTCAATATGCTCTGCTTCCGTTTATTCGTGCGCTCTAATGGACGTTTCGTTTTGGAGCTTGAAGTGAGGTTGGGCTGGGTGGTGTGGAGAGAGGCTAAGAATGATGGAAAGGATGGACCCTTGCTGCGTATTGAGGAGCTTTGTACACCTTTCGAAAGAGGGGAGATGATAACTATGGCTGGTTTGTCTGTGACAAATCGTGGTAGGAGAGATTGTTGTTGGTTGTTTGTTTGTTTGTTAGGATAGATCTCGTGCGTGTGATGCTCTACTGTACAGTTTGCGTGAGGATATAGGAGATAGGACAGGGACCGGGTAACCAGGAAATCGGAGTTTCTTTGGTGAGCTCAGTTATGTACGAATACGGTGACCGGCAGGTGTTGGTGATGATGCAGCCAACCGCCAGACTGCATCCGATCCGGTCCAAGAGACAAGCCCGTCGACAAGGTTTAGGTACTAACCTAGGTCAACGGAGCCGGGCCAGCGATGTACCTATTCACTGAGAATATAATACGGCGAGTAGTGTATTTCGGCGTAGGAAGATCGCTGTACGTACGTACATGAGAGGAACTCGAGTATAACTCAAAGTAACCTCTTTGTCGTCTCTTCTCACTTACAAGCAATACATACCCAAATCATACCTTTGAGACTGAAAAGCGGGATGTCGCATGTATACAACTGCACTGTGCCGCTGTCAATCCCCCCGAGCTGAGCAGGATGAAGGGGGCCGGTTATAAAGCCGGACAAGTTCGGATACAAGACTCAATCAAATCGCGATCTCTGCGCTTTTCTCTGCGAGTAAAAAGAAAGGAAAAGAGCAAAGCAAAGCAAAGCACTGATAAGATGATTCGCTGTCATGATACGCCTCAAACTTGCAAGCAATGGAAGTCTGGTTTGCAGGAGAGGATCGACAAGATGATAAACAAGGCGTTTTTATGGCGCTGCATGCCAAGAATTTTATTAATTGCTGGATTTGCAGTTGACTTGCATTTCCATTTGAAGGCTTTCTCTCTTTCTTCCTCATACAGATAGATACTCCGTAAGAAATGATGAGTTGGAAGACGAATAAATTGGTCAATACAAAAAGTCAATTGGTAAGAGATCATCTTTCCCCCACCTGCTCGCTACAGCACTTGCATTTTGACCAACGAAGACGGTCTTTTCTTCTTTGCTTTTTTCTTGTGGCTTGTTTGCAGTTTTGAGAATCGAGATAATGCATTGTTATCGGGTCTTTAGTATCTTATCGTAGGTAGGTAGTTATCTTATACTCTTTAACAAAGCTATTGTCTGAACCATCTTGAGACCTAGTACTGCCTGGATCCTTGTGCTGTATAATTCGGTTCAAAACTTTTAATTGCTTACAATTGGAAACTTCAAGACCCTTGCTTGTCTCCATTCTCCATGGAACAAACGTGACAATTATCATCATCGGCCATTAACCACCGTCACCTCCACCTCCACCTACCACGAGATATTACCTCCTTATACTAAGGAATTGTATGTATGCACAATTGATAGGTCCCCTCTTTCAGGGACCACTTACTTGCCTGCCATCCATGATTTATTTTCGCTTAGTCTAGGCCCCAAATTAGTCTCGACTTTCTACGACGTTGACAGCCCGAATCGTTGTTCTTTGGGGGTCTAGTCATGGGCCAAGCTTGGTTGGTCCCCGCAGACAACAAATACCTACCTAGTCAGCAAAGAAAGTTGTTGCTTGTTTGACTGATAATCTGCGTGGCCAATTCTGCAAGATTTAGGCAGTTCAGCTCGGCAACCACTTGATCTACCTATCTCATTGCATTGCCCTTCTTCTCATATCTTTGAACCCCCAAATTCATCAGATATCAGCTCTAAATTCTAATACCGTTGACAAATCCCTTGCGCTTTGACAAACCGTTAGCGGCTACAGCGGCTGGTCGATCCCTTCCCGCCTTATCCATCCATATCCTTCAATTGTTCCAGCTCCTGCCTTTTTGTCTCAATCTATCCCACCCATTCGGAGTAGCTAGCTGCCTGCCTTCCTGTTACTGTCCTCAGAACTGCGCTTACCTTGCCTTACCTTCTCCGCCCGTTCGTTCGTTCGTTCGTTCGTTCGTTTCATTAATTGTTAAGGTAGTCCCGACCGGGACTCTCAATCTACCGTTCCGCCTTTCACCTGCCATCTTCCGCCCCCCGTCTCCGTCCCCGACTAAGCTCAAGCAAGCTCAAACCCACTCTCTCCGTCTCCATCTCCATCTCCATCATCAATTCACAAACGACAACGGTCAACCTACTACCTATACCTAAGACCGACTTCTTGGATATCTCTGTCTCCGGCTGATCTGCGTCACTCCGCCCGAGCCACTTCTCTTCATCTCCGACTCCGTCGCAAACTTATCGGCGCCGTCTTCGGTTGCCCGCCGGGCCGTTACAATGCCTGCGCGTGGCCCTCCGTCCCCGAGCTCGCAACCCGCAAAGCGACAGCGACAAGACTCGAATGACGATGGATCGCCGCGCAACGGCCAACCGAGCCCCCAGGATCGTGAGCGCGAACGTCTCCAAACCGACGGCGCTTCAGCATCTTCCACTACCGCCTCTCCCTCGGTAACGGCCAAGGCAGGCCAGAGCAGTAACTTTCGCAACGTCAGCGCCTGTAACCGTTGTCGCCTACGTAAAAATCGTTGTGATCAGAAGCTACCGAGCTGCGCAAGTTGCGCCAAGGCTGGAGTCGCTTGTGTTGGCTATGATCCTATTACAAAGAAGGAAATCCCACGCAGGTACGATAAGACAATGCAAGCGCGCGATTGTCCATATGTGTAATCTTGTGGTCATCACAGACCTCGACGACGCGCCACAATACCTTCCAAGTTGATTAACGAGCAAATGTTGACCTTGCGCGCAGTTATGTTTACTATCTCGAAACCCGAGTCGAGCAGCTCGAGAACCTGCTTAGCGCCAATAACATCACTTTCCCACCAGCCGAAAACCTCGAATTGTGTTCTCGAATAGGCACCGACACCGCTAGTATCAACTCCGCCACCGAAACAGGTTATTCCGGACCATCAGAAGCTGGCGACCGCAGGCCTCAGAGCCAGGCGGTGGAATCGCTTAAGAAAAAGTCGGGCCAATCAGGGTTCCTCAACATCGTGAGCCCCTCGAAGCCTCGGTCTTTAGCATCCGCATCTGGTGTCTCGTTCGCCCGGGTCGTATATGCTGCAGTTCAGTATTCATCCTCTGGTCAACCGAACCCCAGTGATCCAAGGAATGCTCGGCAATCGAGCGGCAATGGAGCTTCACTGCGCGATTCTTTTTTCGGCCTTCATACCAGACCTTCTATCAAACCTGCAAGTTTTCCTAGTAAAGAAGTCGGCTTGCGGCTCGTGAGGTTATACTTTGAACACTCGAACCCTCAGATTCCAATTCTACACAGAGGAGAGTTTATGCAGACGTTTGAACGCATATATGCCACTCAGGATCCGGTCCGAGGCTCGCGAGAACTCTATTTGTTGAATATGGTTTTCGCCATTGGTTGTGGTGTCATTGTTGGCGAGCCAGTGAAATCCGACTCATCTGGCGATGCTGGTGCAGACAACAAGAGTCGATGTGAGCCAGAGGAGTATCACGCGAGCGCAATCGTGCACCTAGAATCGTGTTTAAGCAACAGTGGAGGAGGGTTGGAAGTTCTGCAAGCCGTACTTCTTCTGGCCAATTTTGCTCTGCTGCGACCTGTTCCCCCTGGCCTTTGGTATGTGCTGACTGATCGTATGTGGTGTGTGAACTCACCTGACTGACACGGACCAGGTACATTATTGGTGTTGCTGTTCGACTTGCTGTTGACCTCGGCCTTCACTATGAAGACGACAGGGAAATTGATTCCTTACCTAACGAAAGTGAACAGACTGATGGTGCTGGTTCCCGAGAGAATGGGGCACAAACCCGGGGGAAGAAGTTGTGGGTGCGAGATATGAGGCGCCGTCTCTGGTGGTGCACGTACTCTCTTGATCGCCTGGTTAGCACATGCGTTGGAAGACCGTTCGGCGTCAGCGATCAGGTCATCACAACTGAGTTTCCGTCCTTGTTGGACGACGACTATATTACACCCACCGGACTTGTAGATCCACCATCAGATCAGCTCCAACCCAGCTACAAGCATGTTGCCCATCATTACTTCCGACTGAGGTTGCTGCAATCGGAAATTCTTCAGGTGTTGCAGTACAATCAGGCTCAGATCGCCAAGGCGGGTGTGCAGGGCAAGTTCCCTGATATGCACATTCACCTTCCATCGCCCTTCCTGGTGCAGTTTGATTCGTTCCGTTCATGGCGCATAGATATCGATCGAAGGCTGTATCAGTGGAAGACGTCAGCACCATCGAGACAAGAGACAGGTGTCATGTTTTCGACAGAGTTTCTTGAGCTCAATTACTGGCAAGCGATCATAATGCTCTATCGTCAGAGCCTCAGTGTTCCTGCTATGTTCGAGGGCGAGTATAATTCATCAAATGAGGTTAACAGCCCAACGGCGTTCCAAGCAGAGCTTCGTGAAGATGAGGATCGAATCTACCTGAAAGTTGCAGAGGCAGGCCAGAAGATCCTCCGCATATATAGACAACTCCATCTCAGTGGGTTGGTGAGCTACACCTATCTTTCCACCCATCACCTGTTCATGGCAGGAATCTCGTACCTTTATGCCATTTGGCACTCGCCCATCGTACGAAGTCGCCTGGTAAGCTTTGACGAAACCCAGAGACCTCGGAGAAATGAGCTAATAGTGGATCTAGAGCATGGATGAAGTGGATTTTACTATCCTCGCTGCCAAATCGGTTCTCACAGACATGATCGACAAGTGCCCTCCCGCCGAGACGTGCCGAGATGCGTTCGATCGAACAGCCAAGGCCACCATTAAGATGGCCTCTTCAACAGGCGGTTTCGGTGCCCCGACGGCCCGAAGACAACGTTCAGCGTGGAACACACCGCCTGACTCATCAAAAGGAACGGGGCAAGGACGACACCGTCCACAGGGCTCAGATCAGGCGTCTTATCAGATTGATTTGTCGCTATCTGACTCGCTGTCCTCTCCTACATTATCTGTTGCAGGCGACGGGAATGCACAGCCATCGCCCCCAATGGCACGATCAACAGAGGGATATTTGCTCAAATCGCGAAGTCGAGGTGGACCAAGCCCTACAGAATCTGGTCATAAGCAAGAGGGATCGCCTATAGAATCGGGGATGGTTCTTTCGCCTATTCCTCGAAGAGTGACTTCCCAACCGAACGGTGGAAGATCCTATGGTGGACAGCAGCAATATAACGGACAGGACTACCCAGATGCTCAAACAATGGAGTTCCTCCAAAATCTGGGCGCGTCATCAAACGGAGACTTTACTGCCATGGACCAGTCGCAGCTTGATATGGGTCTAAGCATGAACTGGGAGGGCCTTCACCACGACTTTGGCGAGGCACCACAAATGAACCCCTTTGACACGTTCTTCTTTGGCGGTCCCCAAGGCGGTGGAGGCCAAGACGGCGGCGGCATGAACATGTAGGAAGATGTTTGTTGGATCTGTTTCTGTCTTTATTGCCGGCGCGTTGGCTTGCTTTCTTTCTTTCTTGCTTACCTTAGCTGCAGATGCGGGTCTGCTTAGTGAAATGGGCGGCTCTTTATGGCATTTGGTTATGTTTCAATCAGTAAGTACATCAGAAGGCGTGGGTGCCTTTCTGTCTGTCTCGAGGTTACAAAAGTAGATGTCGGTGCTGGAAGATGTGGAGAAAATTCATGATCAAGTCGATGCGATGGTTTACTGTCTGTTTACTATCATAGTGAGTTATGAAGGTACTTATGGTGCAACTGGGTAGATATGAGAAAGATGTCATGAAGCAGATGGATGGCATATACCGCACATAGAAAAGGTGAAATGGGAGGTCATGAGTTGATGAATAGTACCAATCTTTTGTCTATATACTGTATAGGTAGTGTTTGCAGAGACTATCCGGGTAGGTATCTATCGAAATGAAAGCCTCGATTCGAAAGATTTTTCGACGCTCAAACTGACCTCTCTTCTCATCTCATCTTTTCTGCTCCTTTTGTGCATATTACTCATTCTTTCCAATGTACATACATGGTAGTAAATCCTTTCTCGTCCATTCAATACTCCAATCCATCCATCTATGCATCCAACGTCCAAAATATGTCGTAAAGTCGTAACTGAAACAAACTGAAGAAATAAAATACGCAAATTGTCGTCGCTGCCCTCTTCCTCTATCGGTCTCGGCTATACCGTCTGCTCTCCCTCCGAGGTGAGTAATCTCTCGGGGAGTAATCCCTTCGATATCCCTCTCCCATCAACGGCTCTCGACGATATCGGTCTTGACTCTGTCGTCGTGATCTTCGTGGCGGAGAAACGCTGTGCTCCTCTTCAACAACAATCTCGTTATCCGAAGAAATAGTCGATTCTTGAACGAAGCGCGGCGCAGGCGGCTCAACGACGATTCTCTCTCCTCGACTGCCACCCACAAGCGGCGATGTACGTCTTCGACTCCTGTCCCTCGAATTCACCGTTGTGCGCGATCTCGTCCTCTTGGATCTAGACGTAGCCCTGCTCCGCGATCTATTCCTCGTTCTTCGATCTCTCCTGCTTCGGAAACTCAGATATGTCGATGTGTCGCCCGTGACGGTGCTCATGGGTCCGCCTGAAACAACAGTCGATGCGCCGTCGACTGTTCTCACGACTGGGCCGCGGTGCAGGAGCATGTAGATGATGTACAGCAGGAGTAGAAAACCAGCGACGGAGCCGAGGACAATACCGGCAACGACACCGGGAGCGAGAGAGTCGTCAGTGCTCTTGTAAGATGTTGGCACGGCGGCGAAGGAGCTGCTCGAGTCGTCGTTCTGGCGGACCGAGAGGGAATTGTGCCCTGAGGGTATTGTTGACGATGGTGGAAGAGCTGGCATTTTGGTTTGACGGTTGGCGGAGTTATGATATTAGGTTTATTATATGGTTGGAAATAGCATGGCAGTAGATTCTAAGAGCAAAAGGGTATAGCTCTTGGTATTGAGAGGGCTCGAGTTGTCAAGAATTAATGAGGTTGTTGTAGTTGGGACAACACGATGCAGCTCAGCATTTCACCCATTAAAGATGCTGCACGTC